ATTTTTCTTCAGTCTGGCTTAATGAATCACTTATATCTTTATTTTCAGCCTTGTTGTCTTGGGCAATCCATGCCATTAATTTTCAGGTTATCTTTTCCTGAGGACAAAGAAAAATGGCCTTTTTTACGTCAGGCCTTACTTTCATTTGTAGGTGGCAGATTACCACTGTTGCAAAATGCTGGCATATAAATGTCATCACTTTATTTTTTTCTGTTGACTTCTGCAAGCCTCATCTTGTTACTATGCTTCTGGCTCTACTCAGCGACCATGTTCTACTTAATAGTTTATAGTTCTGTTAACCCTGTTTTCTCTCATTTGCTTTGTTTCCAGATATAGTAGATCTTAGAAATCTCTGACCTAAACTTTATTCTAATATAAATGTAGGTGTCCCTAGATCAGAGTGTTAACACATGCCATACCCTTATCAATGCAATATATTTGGAAATCCATGAATATTTAAAACAAACTGTAGATCACAAGCTTCTGAGACATACTAAGTTAAGGTTTGTCCCTATAGTACATATTAAGACCCAAGTGGTCTAGTATTCCAGGCTAGACCAAAGCACCTCCAAGCAGGAGTCATGTCACTCTTATTAACTCCTAAATTCTTTTTTTTTAAGATTTTATTTATTTATTTGACAGAGAGAGAGCAAGCACAAGCAGAGGGAGCAGCAGAGGGAGAGGGAGAAGCAGGCTCCTCGCTGAGCAGGGAGCCCGATGCGGGGCTCGATCCCAGGACTCTGGGATCATGACCTGAGCTGAAGGCAGATGCTTAACCAACTGAGCCACCCAGGCGCCCCTTAACTCCTAAATTCTTAATGCTAGTACATGTCTGGCACGTAGCAGGTAATCAGTACACATTGTTGATTGAATAATGAATGACATCTGTAGGGAATCTAATTCATTAATGCATCTCGACATTTTCACTCATGATTTGAAAGTAATATAAAATTTCGTTAGATGCTTTTAAGTTTCAACTATCAGAGATGTTTAGGGTGCCTTTGTTATAGAGGTTTATTGGAAGGATTCATGGAACCATGAAAAACAACAAAGAATCTCAGAAAAGCCTCAAAAAAGTCTTCACAGAAAAATGGACCATCATTCCCATGATTGGGGACTGGCAACACCTGTTGTTGTAGCAGCCTACTTGAAGTTCTTGGGTTAAGAGCACTTAACACTCGTTCAGAATTGGGCATCTGTTACTCATTTTTCCCATTGCTCACTGATAGGGAGGCCTCTGTGTCTGCTCCATCAGGGACTCTGTATGTGTGAAGCACATGGCTCACTACCCTTCTACCACCAGAGTATGATTAGCTAGTCACTAACCAATATGGTGAATTCCTTCTGGGCTGAGTTCTCTAGTGCCGAGCAACTTCACAAGGCCACTTGCCAGCCTAGAGAGGGTTGCCCTCAGGTCAGATGTTGATCCTTGATTCAATCACCTGTGGCCAGGGGAGTAGGGACACATGGAAAAAAAAGAGGGCCACAAAAGAGACAGGTACCCTGAGTCACCTTGCATGGCCTAGTACTGCCTTACTATTAAAAGCAAAAACCGGGGTCTGGGGCACCTGGATGGCTCAGTTGTTCAGCGTCTGCCTTCGGCTCAGATCATGATCCCAGGGTCCTGGGATCGAGCCCTGCATCGGGCTCCCTTCTCAGTGGAGAGTCTGCTTCTCCCTCTCCCTCTCCCTCTCCCTCTCCCTCTGCCCTTCCTGCCCACTCCTGCTCTCGCTCTCTCTCACTCTCTCTCAAATAAAATCTTTAAAAGAGAAAGAAAGGAAGAGGAAAAGAAAAGAAAAAAGAAAAGGAAAAGACCGTTTCAGACTAAGGGAAGAGTCAGTGCAGAGGCCCAAGGCAGGAACATTCCCTTGTATGCTTGAGCAGAGCACCTGGCTGTAACCTAGTAGATAGGGGAGGCAGGGGCTTAGGAGGGGTGAGGGTAGTAAGCAATGGGGAGAGAGAGGATGGAGGGCCAGGTCACATGGAGCCTTAAGGACTATTGGAAGGACTTTGACCATTGCATGGCTTTGAGCAGAGTTATCATGTAATCTCATTTATCTTTAAAAAGTTCACTGACTGCTCTGTTGAAATTAGACCTTAGTGAGGCAAGAACAGACCCTACTATCTAGTTAGTAGGCTATTACGACAATCCAGCTAAGAGCTAGTATAGCTTGGAATGCCATCATGTCTCTTACCCAAGCTGGAAACCTGAGGGAGTTCCTCCTAGGCATTCCCCTTTCCCACTTCCCAAATCGTCTCCCTACCTGCTCCTAACATGTGCACCTGGATTCTATTTCCAAATACCAGACATTGCCCTCCACCTGTTACCACAGTTTCCATTCGGGCTTATCTGGGTCACTGAAATGGTGTCGTAACAGGGCTGCCTTTGGCTTATCCCTTCTTTTAGTCCATCAAGCCAGGGTATCCTTCTAGTCACAGGGAATCTTAGTCTGGGATGCATACATAGACTTCACTGGGTCTGTGACACTGAGAAAAGCACATTTCTATTTTCACTAACACCTAACTGAAATTTAGCATTTCCTGATTATGAATGTAAGAAACAAATCATAGTATTAGGAGAACCCATAACGGTCATCAATAGAAATTAGATATTTTCCTGTCACATTACAGTAGAAACATGTATCTCATCATCTACAATCATTACTTTGAAATTATGGTAATTATTAGATCTACCACTAGATCTTTTAAAAAATATGCTAATAAAACAAATGTCATAATTAAGAAATATTTGTATTTCAACATGATTGGATTCCTTTTAATTCCTATGTATTTTAATTTATACATTTAAAATGATTATTTTTAGGAATTTATAGGTTTTTTTCTTTAAAGATTTTATTTATTTATTTGACAGAGAGACACAGCGAGAGAGGGAACACAAGCAGGGGGAGGGGGAGAGGGAGAAGCACAATTCCCGCCGAGCAGGGAGCCCGATGCGGGGCTCGATCCCAGGACCCTGAGACCATGACCTGAGCCGAAGGCAGACGCTCAACGAATGAGCCACCCAGGCGCCCCGTAGGTTTTTTTTTTATTTATAGACTTCCAAAGGGGTTCAAGGCCAGAAAAGATTAAAACTGTGGTTCTAATTATATCTAATCTATTTAGACCTGATCTTACTACTTCCACACTTTCAAAATCCTCAGGTGGCTTGCCAGCACACAGGATAAAGTCTCAAACTCTAACAGTGCTACAAACTTCTCCACACACCCTCACTCAGCTAACTTTTCCTGCTATCGGACAAGTCCTTCGTCCTCTCCCACAGTCTGCATTCTGACCATCCGGACCCCTGCTCCTTCTGGCACTTGGCCCTTTCACTTCTCTGGGCATTTGCTCCTTATGTCCCCTTTTCCTTTTTTTTTTTAAGTAGGCTCCATGCCCAACATGGGGCTTGAACTCACAACCCTGAGATCAAGGCTCACATGCTCTACTGACTGAGCCAGCAAGGTGCCCTTATTCCCTTTTCCTGCAAGGCCTACCCAACCATGGAAAACTCCTGCCCCATCTTCAAAACTCACCCTTTTCCAGTATTGCCTCCTCTCAGGCCATATTAGTTTTCCCTTCATTCACACTTCCACTGCACATCATACATGTCTTTTCACATCCCATGGCACTCTTGGTTGACTTGCTTGCCTTTCTTGCTCAACAGTAACACCTCATGGAAGGAGACCATCTTAATTACCTTGGAATCTCTAGGAGGCTTTAACAGATGCTTCATAAACGGCTAGTTGAATTGAACTAAATACTTTTTAAGAGAATTGATCTGAGATTATGAGTTACTTCTTTAATTTATAAGAACATGATGAAATAAGCCTCAAGAATTTTTCCCTCAGGGGCGCCTGGGTGGCTCAGTCGTTAGGCGTCTGCCTTTGGCTCAGGTCGTGATCCCGGGGTCCTGGGATCGAGCCCCACATCCGGCTCCTGGCTCAGCAGGGAGCCTGCTTCTCCCTCTGCCTCTCCCCCTGCTCGTGCTCTCTCTCTCTCTCTCTCTCTGTATCTCTGTGTCTCGAATGAATAAATAAAAATCTTTTAAAAAAAATTTAAAAAAAATAATTTTTCCCTCAGTCTTCTAATCTTTAGGTTAAGAACATGAAATATTTGCTTATAGATAAATTTGCTTGCAAGTCACAGACTAGAAGATATTTGTAATACATATATCTGACAAAGGATTCAGAACCACCATTTAAAAATGACTCCTACAAATCAATAAGAAAAAGACAACTAGGGCACCTGGGTGATTCAGTCGGTTAAGCATCTGCCTTCAGCTCAGGTCATGATCCTGGGGTGTTGGGATGGAGCCCTGCGTCAGGCTCCCTGCTCAATGGGGAACCCACTTCTCCCTCTGCCGCTCCCCCTACTTGTGCTCTCTGTCAAATAAATAAATAAAATCTAAAAAAAAAAGAAGAAAAAAGGACAACCAATCCAGTAAAAAATTGGGCAAATGACTCGAACAGCAACTTGGAAAAGGAGGATATCAACATGGACAATAAACATAGGAGACAAACTTCAACAGGGCCTTATGAGACTCATCAGGGAAATGCAAATTAGGATCACAACAGGAGACTATTATTCTCACCCAAGAAAAACTAAGATTTAGAAGACTGAAAATATCAAGTGTTTTTGGTTTTTTTTTTTTTTAAGATTTTATTTATTTATTTGAGAGAGAGAAAGCACAAGAGGGGGGAGGGTCAGAGGGAGAAGCAGACTCCCCACTGAGCGGGGAGCCTGATGTGGGGTCTCTGGGATCATGACCTGAGTGGAAGGCAGATGCTTGACTGACTGAGCCACACAGGCGTCCCAATATCAAATGTTTTTAAGGATGTAGATCCCCTATATTGCTGATGGGGGGGGACGCAAAATGACATAATCTCTTTGGAAAATCATTTGTTAGTTTTTTACTAGGGTTAAATATGCATTTGCTTATGATATAGCAACTCTATTTTTTATCTCTAACAGAAATGAATGCAAATATTGTACCGTTTGTACATTACATTCATAGCAGTTTTATTCATAATATCCACAAGATGAAACAACCCACATGTTTATCAACAAATAAACTGTGACACATTTATATAATGGAATACTACCCATCAATTAAAAAAAATAATTGGCTCCAGCAACAAGATGGAGAAATGTCAGGTATTATGTTGCATGAAAGCCCGACACAAAAAAGTTGTAATATATATTCCATTTATATAAGGTTTAAGAGCAAGTAAAAATAAAGATGTTTATGAAAATCAAAATAGCAATTAATGCTTCAGGGACTAGAAGGAGAAGCACATTAAGAGAATCTCATGGGGTATAGGAAAATAATCCTATAGTTTTATCTAGTTTTATCTCAATGGCGGTTATCCATACATACATATACATAAAAATTCAAACTATATACTTAAGATTAGTGCATTTTATGCACTTTATGTAGTATTACTAAGTATAATAAAGAAACTTGGTCGGATCTGCAGAAGAGGTAGTATTTTGGGAAACTCAAACCATGGCACAACCATTTAGAAAATGGTTTTAATATGGTCCAAAACAGTTGACCCGGTGGAAAGAATAAAGTTATTGTGGAGGAGTAAAAGGGAGAATTAAAATTAAAATATTTTGAAAGTAAAAGCACACTGCACAAACACTATACCCCATGTTAGCACAAGCATGTCCAGTCTTGGAACAATGAGCACTTGAGTTAAGCCAATGAGTCCTTCGGGAATCAGTGAACAGTCATAATGTTGGCCTAACCATCAGTACATTTTTTTTAAAGTCTATTTTTATTCAGATATTGTAACACCATGTAAGTTTAAGGTGTGCAACATGTTGATTTGATATACTTATATGTTGCAATATGATTACCACCTGAGCACTCGCTAACACCTCTGTCATGTCTATTTCCTATGTTCTCTCCTCTTTTTTGCATGTGTCTTCACACTGGCAACACTTGGGATGAACATTTTATTCCTTTCTGCAGGATGTGGAAAAATATCTTTGAGAGAGATCATTTGGCAAAGGAGAAAGGGACTCCCAGGGTGCCATCTCCAACACCTGCCGGTCCCACATCCCTGTGAGTGTACCTCGTCATCCCAGATGCGTCCTCCCAATGCAATCCCTAAATCCCCACCTCCACCTGCCACTGCCTTGCAAGGCCCTCAGTGTTGCTCTGATACAGTCTCCCAATTCGTCTTCTTGCTTTAGATACTCCACGCTGATTCCACTCTCCAGCAGCCAGAATGGTCTACCCATAAAGCAGCTCCCACCAGGTCATTCCACTGAAGTGCTTCCCTTTGTCTCAGAATAAAATCCAAACTGGCAGTAAACAGCCTTATCTCCCCAGCAGGCGTCCTGTACAAGTCCTCAGAATGTGATAGCGAGTGGAAACGTCCCCAGGTTAGCCTTCACAGGGTCAGCTGGCCCAGAATTCCAGGAGTGTCTTACTCTTGTCCCCTACTGTGGCATTTGAATTTTGTGTTTATGAGAATCTGAAGGATACTAGCGATGTCAGCAGCAATTCTGTCATTTTCCTTCTTGTCTTTGTATCCTTGAATTGTCAGTTCTGCAAACCTGAAAGACATTAAACATGGGGCTTCCCCAAACACAGCTCCCTCTTCTGTAATGTTCAGGATATGTATGGGTTTGGCATCAAGTACTTTATTCTCAACATAGAAATCCTTCAGAATCTAAAGTTCAGATCTTTAGCATGAAATTAGATTAACTACCAAGGGAAGAAGGTAGATACCTATTCTCTTTTCTCCAACTTTCATAGGTACACCACTAGGATCTTCTTGGAGGGGGTATGCATGCCAAATTAAAACGTGCTCAGAATCAAATTATGGGGCACCTGGGTGGCTCAGTTGGTTAAGGATCTGCCTTCAGCTCAGGATCCCAGGGTCCTGGCATCGAGTCCCACACGGGCTCCCTGCTTGTCAGGGAGTCTGCTTCTCCCTCTCCCTCTGCCCCTCCTCCCTGCTCGTGCTCTCTCTCGCGCTCTCTCTCTCTCTCTCTCAAATAAATAAAATCTTTAAAAAAATTTATCAAAATAAAAAATTTTAAAAAAAGGACCAAATTATGTTAAACTAAAAATCCCTCAGAAGAAATAGGGAAGCATGAATAATATGTATTAAAGTCAGTGTGTAAAGTGCCCAAACTTGGATATTGCCTATGCAGCTGGAGGTTTGTAAGCCTATAATACATAATCCACAGTGTGGAGATTCAAAACTAGCATTCAAGACTTGGCTTCATATGAAAAATGTAAGTTCATGTATTTTGGAAGAAAGGGAATCTATAGCTTTTAGATTCTCAAAGGGATCCAGGACCTCTTCAAAAACAAACAAACAAACAAAAAAGTCTTGGAGTGATTAGGCTTATTATTTATACCCAGTAGCAACTACCCTTCATATTTACCCAGAGCACATGCAAAGAAGTGCTATCTAGCTGACTGGAGTGCTATAGACCAAGATGCTTACAAGTCCTGAACACAAAAATAATTGATAATATTCTTGTTTTAAAGAATTGCTTCGGGAGCCTGGGTGGCTCAGTCGGTTAAGCGACTGCCTTCGGCTCGGGTCATGATCCTGGAGTCCCGGGATCGAGACCCACATCGGGCTCCCTGCTCGGCAGGGAGTCTGCTTCTCCCTCTGACCCTCTTCCCTCTCGTGCTCTCTCTCAAATAAATAAATAAACTCTTTAAAAAAAAAAAAAAGAATTGCTTCTTTCCTTTAGCAGAAAGAAAGCAAGACAAACTTTTTGCCCTTTTTTTTTTTTTAACCTGTCTCATGGAAGTCATCTCTGGTTCAGTTTTTTAATATACTTACCTCAAATATGTATTTCTTTAACAAAAGAAAACTTTAACAAAAGGAGAGATTTTCCTTGCTTGTAGTTAGAATGTCTAATTGTCATCACGGTATCAGTTCTTCCTAAGTTAACTTATAAATTTAACGTAATCCCAGTAAAATTACTAACAAGCTTCCCCCGCCAGAGCTAGACAAGTTACTACCAGAATTCATGCAGGGAAATAAACAGACAACAATAGCTAGACGGTCTGAAGAGGAAGATCTGTGGTGGGGGAAGGGACTAGTCCTATTAGATAAGTAAAATACACAAAAAGCCTCTATTCTTAAAACCATGTGCCACTGGAAGAGGAATTAGAGTGACCAATGAAATGGAAAATCCAGAATAGTCCCAAGTACGTAGAGAAATAGAGTCTATGATAAAGGTGATTTTTCAAATCACGAGATTAAAAAAAATGGTATCGCAATACAACTGGATAGCCATTTAGAAAAAGATAAATTAGGTCCTTTCTTCACATAACACACAAGAATAAAGTTTTAAATGGATCAGGAATTGAAATGCAAAAACGTCGGGGCGCCTGGGTGGCTCAGTCGTTAAGCGTCTACCTTCGGCTCAGGTCATGATCCCGGGGTCCTGGGATCGAGCCCCACATCGGGCTCCCTGCTCGGCGGGAAGCCTGCTTCTCCCTCTCCCACTCCCCCTGCTTGTGTTCTTTCTCTCGCTGTGTCTCTCTCTATCAAATAAATAAATAAAATCTTAAAAAAAAAAAGTCAAGCTATAGTAATACTAGAAGAAAACATGGGTAAATTTCTAACATGGTTATAGGAAAAAGATTTCTTTTTTTTTTTAAAGATTTTATTTATTCATTTGAGACACAGAGATACAGAGAGCGAGAGCATGAGCAGGGAGAGAGGCAGAGGGAGAAGGAGAAGCAGGCTTCCTGCTGAGCCAGGAGCCCGATGTGGGACTCAATCATGGGATCATGACCTGAGCCGAAGGCAGACACTTAACCATCTGAGCCACCCAGGCGCCCCTAGGAAAAAGATTTCTAACTGTATTTCAAAATTGTGTTTCAAGATGCAATTAAAGAAAAGGCAAATACATTTGACTAATAAACATTTTAAATTTTACAGAAAAATACCTTAAAAAATATACAAATGACAAGTCAGAAGAGAATATTTGTAACATATATAAAAGAAATGTCTAGGGGCGCCTGGGTGGCTCAGTTGGTTAAGCGACTGCCTTCGGCTCGGGTCATGATCCTGGAGTCCTGGGATCAAGTCCCGCATCGGGCTCCCTGCTCAGCAGGGAGTCTGCTTCTCCCTCTGACCCTCTTCCCTCTCGTGCTCTCTATCTCTCATTCTCTCTCTCTCAAATAAATAAATAAAAATCTTAAAAAAAAAAGAAATGTCTAATATTCATCATTTTGCAAAATAAAAGACCAAAACCTTGTAAAAAAAAAATAGGCAAGAGACATGAATGGACAATCACAATATATACAAAAATAGCATTGAAAAGAGACTCAATTTCACTCACAAGCCATTTTTCTTCCAGGTGTTTACCCAACAGAAACAAAAATGTCTCTACAAGGGCTTATACGCAAATGTTCATAGCAACTTTAACTGCACTAGTTCCAAACCGTAAAAACCCAAGTGTCCATTATCATGTGAATATTTAGACAGTTTTCCTTTTGTTATTTATTTCTAACTTCTGAGATAGGATATCCTCTCTGATGATGTAGGATATCTAAATTTTTCAATCTATTGAGACTTACGTTGTGGTCTATTATGTAGTCTGTCCTGGAAAATGTCCTGTGTGCACTTGAGGAGAATGTGTCTTCCATTGTTTTGGGGTAGAATGTTCTGTGTGTTTCTGTTAGATCTCGTTAGTGCATTGTCTTGAGTACTCTATTTCCTTGAGGAGAGGGGGTAGTAATGGACGAGGAACCGGAGATGCAGGAGAGACAGAAGGAATAGGAGTAGCGGTGAGGAGGGATGGGGGGGCATGACTGGAGAGGTGGAGCGTTTGAAGGAAAGCAAGCAACCTCATGGCTTGTTGGGATTCGTTTTTTATTTGGTGTGGTTACTACTGCTAATCACAATTATTAATAATAACAATGCAGTTAGTGCAAGCCTGGTCCATAGTAGAAACCTGATATACAATCTTTAGTATTTTCTTTTAAACTGATGTGATGATTTCTCTACACAGTGCATGTGCTCATTCACTGGTTCATCATCCATTTGTCACAACATGCTGGGTGATGCTGAGGACACGGTAGTGACCAGGACAGTCCAGGTCCCTTCTTCATGGGATTAACCACCCAGTAAACAGAACCTCCCTGACAGACCTGTCCCCAGACAGTCGATGACCCAGAGTTGACAGGGCTGGGATCGGGGAGCATAGTAGGGTGGAACAGAAAAAAAACAGGAACAACAAACCATACATGAAAATAGAATGGCACAGTGGACACTCATCTACCAATCAGCCCTAGATTCAGGACTTGCTAGATTTTGCTACCCATGCTTCATCCAACGGGGCAGTACTTACCATCTTTACCTAACATCACATAGGAAAATTAACACAAAATGGATCAAGGACCTAAATGTAAGACTCTGTGTCATAAAACTCTTAGGAAAAAAACAGACAAAACTTCACGATATCAGGACATTAGAGGCACAGGTAGCAAAAGAAAAAAATAAATTGGGCTTCATGAAAATAAAGATATTTTGTGCAACAAAAGACACTATTTCACACAGTAAAAAGATAACCCACAGAATGGGAGAAAATATTTGCAAATCATATATGTCATAAGAGATTAATATCCAAAATATAGAGAGAACTCCTAAATTTCAACAAGAAGAAACCAAACAACCCAATTCAAAAATGGGCAAAGAACATGAATGGACATTTCTCCAAAGATACACACATGGCCAATAAGCACATGAAAAGATGCTCAGCATCACTAATCATTAGGAAAATGCACATCAAAACCCATTTCACACCCATTAGGATGGCTACTATCAAAAAAAGAGAAAACAGGAAGTGTTGGTGAGGATGTGGAGAAACTGCAACCCTTGTGCCCTCTTGGTGGGAACGTAAAACAGCAAAGCTGCTGTGCAGAACAGTGTAGAGCTCCTCAAAACATTAAAAATAGAGCTACCGTAGGATCCAGCAATTCCACATCAGGGTATATGGTCAAAGGAATTGAAAGCAGGGTCTTGGAGAGATATTTGTACACACATGTTCTTAGCTCTATTCATAATAGCTGACATGTGCAAGCAACCCAAGTGTGATTCAATAGATGAATAAACAGAATGTGGTGTATCCATACAATGGAATATTATTTTGCCTTAAAAAGGAAGGAAATTCTGCAATATACTACAACATGGATGAACCTTGAGGACATCATGCTGAATGAAAGAAGCCAGTCACAAAAAGACAAATACTGTATGATTCCACTGAGGTATTTAGAGTTGTCATCACCACAGAGACAGAGAGTATAGTGGGGGTTGCCAGGGACTGGCTGCCCCGGGGGGGAAGGGAGATAAAGTGTTATTGTTTAATGGGTTTAGAGTCTCAGTTTTACAAGATGAAAGAGTTGTAAAAAATGGATGATGGTGATGGTTGCAGTGTGAATATATCTAATACCACTTAGCTGTATACTTAAAAATGGCTAAGATGGCAAACTTCACATTATGTGTATTTTACCATAATAAAAAGAGAAAAAACCCACTGAATTGTACATTTTGAAAGAGTAATTATATGGTATGTGAATTGTAGCACTAAAGCTGTAAATACACATAAAATGGCCTAGAAGGGAAGAAGGGAAGCAGTGGTAGTAAAATTAGAAAACGACCATTTTGCAGCCAACATGGAAAAGACTGGTTTGAACAATCTTATATATATATATATATATATATTTTTTTTTTTTTTAAGATTTATTTATGTATTTATTTGACAGAGAGAGAGAGACAGCAAGAGAGGGAACACAAGCAGGGCGAGTGGGAGAGGGAGAAGCAGGCTTCCCACCAAGCAGGGAGCCTGATGCGGGGCTCAGTCCCAGGACCCCGGGATCACGACCTGAGCTGAAGGCAGACGCTTAACGACTGAGCCACCCAGGCGCCCCCGTTTGAACAATCTTAGATGGACAAGAATGCATGCTAAATTTGGGAGAGAAAGCTTGATGAGGAGCAGGTTATTTGTACAAACTCATTGTCTTTCCAAAGACTTTTTACTGATTTCAAGTGTACAAGTAATAAATATACAGAGAAGAAATAAACAATGACTGGGTGGTTACAATTACCACCTAGTAGATGCAGACAAATACCATGACTCCAGATGTGATAGCCTGGAAAGAACACAAAATCACCAATGTAATAATCCAGCCAGAGCTGCATAATCTGAATCTAATTATGAGGAAACACCAAATGAACCAATTGAAGAACATATAAAATAAATCCTCTACATTCTTCAAAAACGTCAAAGTCATGAAAGACAAAGAGTAAGGAACTATTCCAGATTAAAGAAGACTAAAGAGACAGGATACAATTTTTTAGGGAGAGTAGAATATTATTTGGACGACTGACAAAATGAGAATCAGACTGCAGATTAAATTAGCAAGATTAAATTTCTGGAATTTGTTAGTTATAGTGTGGTTATGTAAAAGAATATCCTTGTTCTTAGCAAATATACACTGAAAACATGATACTTGCTATCTACTCTCAAATGATCCAGAAAAAAATAAAATAGTGGGGAGGGGTGTGAGGGAGAATGATAAAGCAAATGTGGCAAATGTTGAAAAACGGGTGAATCTGGGTACAGGGTATACAGAAGTTCTCTGTACTATTATTCCTACAGTGTTTCAGTAAATAAAAGTTTAGTAACAGAATGTTTGTAAGAAGTGCTCATTAAAGACACAAAATGGCATTGTTATATTCATTTGCCTTTCGTCTGTGAGCCCCTGAGAGCAGTTCAGTTTAGGATAGCCAGGAAAATCTTAGTCCCAAATCCACATGATCTCTGTGCCACAGAAATCTTGTCACCAGAAGGTGGAAACACAGGAGGCCTAAAGATGTTTTCTGGGACTTCGAGAAAGGAGTGGAGTTACCCTGGGAAAATCTTAGTGGCTATCAAATTAGAAGAATTGTAAATAGGACAAATGAAAAATGAACAAACAACAGGATGCCTGGGTGGCTCAGTCGGTTAAGCATCTGCCTTCAGCACAGGTCATAGTCCCAGGATCCTGGGATCAAGTCCCGCATCAGGCTCCCTGCTAAGTGGGGAGCCTGCTTTTTCCCTCTGCCTTCCGCTCCCCGTGCGCGCGCTCTCTCTCTCAGATAAATAAAATCTTAAAAAAAAAAAAAGAACAAATGAAGGGTAGACTAATCCCTCTGAGTGAAGCTGAGGTCAATCCTGCTTTCCGCAGCTTGGGGGACTATGACTCTACTCCTTCCCAAACCTTCACCTTTCACTGACAGGAGAGGGAATTCCAAGACCCTCTTCCTCAACAGAAAAGGGGTGGGGAGAAGGGAGGAGAAGGACTTCCTGGGATGGAAGACATTCCTGGGATGTAAAGACAGGGAAGAAAGCGGAAGGGAGAGGTTCTTGATGACCTTTATCATTTGCTAGAAAGGTAAACCTCAGATTCCTGGTGAACCAAAGCATTTGAGGGGATCTTGTTTTAACCAGCAGGACACGCCTATTTGCAATGCAGGATGTGTGATGTTAGATTATCATACTAATTACATAACAGAGCTCAGGGCTCAGAGGATTTTTCTGAATCAAGGTGTGGGCGTCAAAATTGCCTCCGTTTTTCAATCTGTAAAATGGGAATAGTTATATTTGTAAAATCTACCCCACAGAATTGTTGGGATTGAAGAGACAGTTTCTGTCAAACTCTTTTAGGAAAGAAAGAATGTAGCATCAATTTAAAATGCTATGTTTTTTTCTATTCCAGTGGTCTAAGCAAATTCTGTTTGAGCCTTTCACTTTAAACCTTAGGTCACTCACCCCAGTATTATCCAATTGTTTGCAGAGAGGTAACTTTTTTTTTATTAACATATCATAGAGGAGTTGTCTCCCTTTCTCCCTGGCAAAATAAGGTTTTTTAATTCACCAGTGGTTACAACCTCAACTTCTCTGGGGCCCAACCATGTAACACAATTCCAAGGAGCTGGCTGATGGCAGGTGAGTGTTAGGGAGTGGTGAGGACTGGGTCAGTGGAGATAGCATGTCCTGTCTATTGGCCTTCATGATACAAAACATGTCTAGGCAAGTGGGTCAGTTTTGTTTCCTCTAGATTAGAGGATGTCTAAATTCCCTTTGAGCTCCCAACCCCTGTGACTGATTATTTTGAAATTTCACATCTGGCATGGTAACTCTCTTAGAGCTCCTTTTCCAGTATTTATTAACCTGCATGGCTCTTGCTGGTCATCTATCATTGCAAAATCATTGGACTTTACATAGTAAAGTGGTTACTACTGAATTGAAAAGTTTACATAACATATTTCACGTATCTGCAGAACTTTGCCCCAAAGCTCAAATTCTGCCATCTCTCTTAAAGCATCAAGCTATTGGTTACAGAATGACAAGTTATAGATTATTTTTCACATTGATCTTTTAACATAACAATGTATACAGGCCTGGTTCACCTCTCCCAAGGTTGCACCTGATTTCTGCATTATCTCCCTTGAATATTCCAGAGAACTCTCTTACCTCATCCATTACAAAGGTATTTGAGCCCTTCGTCCTGATTAATCTCTTCAACCTCTTCACCCCACCACGTGCCTCCATACACCCTCATCCCCCTTCCACTCCCCGTTTCCTCCAGACACATACCTACCAAGTCCATTCCACCGGGGCCAGAAGCATACTCTGCCACGGAAGATAAAACGAGGGTTTGGGTCTGGAGACAGCAGTGAGGCCTGCCTGGGTTGCTGCTTCTGGTGTAAATAGGCAGAGGGCGGAGTCTGTGGGAGGAGTAGCCCAGAGGGAAGTCCTTAAAGGGGGAGGCCTGGGGCCTGGCTTGCTGGAGGAGGGGACCCTGGGACTGTCACAGCCTGGCCAACCCCAAATAGTTTTGTTGTTAAGGCCGCGTTCCTGATACTGCAGTCTGATTCATTCAGCGTATCTTAAAGCAGCTGGGGCTGTGTTTTATTGTGATAATGATAATGATAATGATGTTGAATCAGGGTGATATCTAGTGAGTGGCCCACCAGTCCCTGGTGTGCTATACTGCTGGTAGCTGATCCCAAAGAAAGGCTACAGTGAGGTCAGGTGTCTTCAAGTTCAGAGTCCTGGGCTGAGAGTAGCACCTGTAAGATTGCAGCTGTGGCTAGTGAGGTTCCTGTTCCTGATGTCGGTGTATTTACATGTTCTTTTAGGTCTAGGGACAGGCTCCTTTCGCTCTTGTTACAGCTTGCTGCTCTGCACCCCCTGGAATCCCTCTCTGTCGTGGCTTCCAAGGCCTTCCCAGCTCGGCTCCTGCCAGCATCTCAACTTTATCCCTTACCATGTCGCCTTCTTCCACTATGGTCCAGCTACACCGTGTTCTCAATGTGTCATATCCTTTAAATAAGCCAAGCAAGTTCTGCCCCAGGACTTTTGCACTGGTTATATCTGCTAGTGGAACACTAATCCCACTATTACTGCTCTTCCCTTACATAAATATCTGGCTCCCCCTCATCCATGAGTCAGCTTACTGATAAGAGTCTTTCTAAGGGGGGGTGCCAGGGTGGCTCAGTCCATTGGGTGTCTGTCTTCAGCTCAGGTCATGATCTCCAGGTCCTGGGATAGAGCCCCACATTGAGCTTCCTGCTCAGCGGGGAGTCTGCTTCTCTCTCTCTCATCCCCTGCCCCTCCCCACTGCTCATTCTCTCTCTCAAATAAATAAATAAATAAATAAATAAATAAATAAATAAATAAAGTCTTCCTAAGGGATAGCCCTGACTTTACCCTCAATCACCACTGTTTTATTTTCTTCATAGCTATTAGCACTACCTGAAATTTTTTTTTTAAAGATTTTATTTATTTATTTGAGAGAGAGAGAATGGGAGACAGCACGAGAGGGAAGAGGGTCAGAGGCAGAAGCAGACTCCCCGCCGAGCAGGGAGCCCGATGCGGGACTCGATCCCGGGACTCCAGGATCATGACCTGAGCCGAAGGCAGTCGCTTAACCGACTGAGCCACCCAGGCGCCCTACCTGAAATTATTGAGTTTATTTGTTTACTTGGGTATTTCTCCAGTCCCCTCCCCTCACTGAACTGTAATTGCCCCAAGGCAGAGTTGGGCCTGTATTGCTCATAACATTATCCCCACGTCCAAAATTAATACCTGACACATAATAGGTGTTTACTGTATGTGCATGGATTAAATGAATGGGATACAGTTCATTCATTGACCAAGTATTATTGTGTAGCTGATGTGTGCCAGGCACTGTGCTGAATGCAGGAGATAGGACAAATAAGACAGGCAAAGCTTCCCCCAAGGAGGCTTCCAGTCTAGAAGGGAACACAATCATTAAAATAATAATCAATTGAATGAAAGTGCATCTTAAAAAAAATAAATAAATTGTTTTTTCACAGTTTGCTATGAATGTACATTTCAGAAGTGTTGGTGGGGGAGATAAACTGTCAGTCACAGAGCCCAGAATTCTCAGGAATCCAAGCCTTGTTTATAAATTGATAAAAGGATTTGTTCCTAGAAACTTGATGGGATCCCATGGAGCTAATGACCCATTTCTAGTTCTCAGACTAATTTTTTTGCTGAGGAGTCTAATCAAGACTGCCCTGTGGCACTAGCATATTTATCAGGCTCAGTGAGTTTAATTTGAGAATGACCTTTGAATCCATGTTTCCACATCAAAAGAATTCAGATTCTGGTGATGTCCCAGGGCTCTAAGTGTCCTTTAGAGCTTGTAAAAGAGATCTGGCATAAGGCAAGGATTGCAATAGGCCAATAGGGCTTCCTCAAAAGTTTCAGAAGGGAAGTTGGGACCAGGTCTCTTTCCTGTAGAAATCACAAATTACACCACAGCAATTTGGTTGGAACCCTCCTGTTTTCCCCGGGCCAAGTCACTACTTGGCTCATTTCTTTTACCTATTAGGCCCCTGAAGGCATTTGATTTCATGAGCCCTGCTTCCAGACATTGGGTTGCCCATGCTGACAGTTTTAGGATTCTAACATCCCTGGACATTTTGGTTAAACAAATAAATTATGATTTGGCAAAATTCAAATACTAAAATGCTGGTGATTTGGGTACCAAATCCAAACATCTCTAATACAAAGAGGTCCAAGAGGCAAGGATGATAAATCTCAAATTCTAAAGATTCATGAAATAAAACTTTTTTTTTTTTTAAGATTGTATTTATTTGACAGAGAGAGACACAGCGAGAGAGGGAACACAAGCAGGGGGAGTGGGAGAGGGAGAAGCAGGCTTCCCGCGGAGCGGGGAGCCCGATGCGGGGCTCGATCCCAGGACCCCGGGATCATGACCTGAGCCGAAGGCATACGCCCCACGACTGAGCCACCCAGGCGGCCCAAAATAAAACTTTTTTGACACATTCTTTAAAATTTCCTCAGCAGGAACACATTTTACCCTTTGGTGGTTCTTTTTTTTTAAGATTTTTATTTATTTATTGAGAGAGAGAGAATGGTAGAGAGAGAGCATGAGAGGGAGGAAGGTCAGAGGGAGAAGCAGACTCCCTGCTGAGCAGGGAGCCCGATGCGGGACTCGATCCTGGAACTCCAGGATCATGACCTGAGCCGAAGGCAGCCGCCCAACCAACTGAGCCACCCAGGCACCCCTTTTGGTGGTTCTTTAGTTACTATGACTGCCTAACAAACCACCCTGAAATTTAAGGACATAAAATAACCATTTTATCATGCTCATGGATTCTGTGTTCGTGAAATTCTGACCGGGCAGAGAGGGGGCAGGTTGTTTCTACTCTGTGATTCTAAATTTGCTGCTGGGAAGAAGGGTGGAGTGATTCAACGGTTGAAGGCTGGAATCCGATGGAGACATCTTCATTCATAGGTCTGGCTGATGATGTGGGTAATTGACTAGGCACACCTACACGTGATCTTTCAGTGTGGTCTCTCTGCACATGCTTGTCTGGATTTCCACACAGCAAGGTAGCTGGATTCCAAGAATGAGGGTCACAAGAGAGCAACACACAACAAGAGTGCGTGACATCTTTATAATCTGGCTCAAGGTCTCACTGTAAGAAGAGTATGTGGGGGTGCCTGGGTGGCTCAGTTGGTTAAGCGACTGCCTTCGGCTCAGGTCATGATCCTGGAGTCCCGGGATCGAGTCCCGCATCAGGCTCCCTGCTCGGCAGGGAGCCTGCTTCTCCCTCTGACCCTCTTCCCTCTTGTACTCTCTATCTCTCATTCTCTCCCTCTCAAATAAATAAATAAAATCTTAAAAAAAAAAAGAAGAGTATGTGGGATGGAATTATTGCAGGCATCTTCAGAAAATACAATCTGCCACAGGGATACATTTGACTTTCAAAAATAGCTAGAAGTCATTAGGAGTTAAGTTTGATGAAAAATGTAAATGGGGAGCGCCTGGCTGGCTCAGTCAGTAAAGCGTAAGACTCTTGATTTCAGGGTTGTGAGTTCAAGCCCCATGTTTGGCGTGGAGCCTACTTTAAAAAAAAATGTAAATGAGGGCCCCTTGGGTGGCTCAGTTGGTTAAGTGGCTGCCTTGGGCCCAGGTCGTAATCCCAGGGCCCTGGGTTGGAGCCCTGCATCAGCTCCTTGCTCAGCAGGAGCCTGCTTCTCCCTCTCCCTCTGCCTGCCGCTCCCCCTGCTTGTGCTCTCTCTCTCTCTCTGTCAAAAAAATAAATAAAATCTTAAAAAAAAAGTAAATGAGTAAAGCTGGTTTAGATTCAAAAGATGAGGAGCAAATAATAAGAACATTAAATAATAAGAACCCTTCCTTCTGTGGATCACATCCAGTTCAGAATTCAATTTCAACAGAACTCTTGTGGAACTTTTAAAACAACTAGCATCATTCTCCCCAATTACCATGACAGATCTGATTAGGCATTGCATTAAGTATATCATCTCCTAGGGGGGTATTTAAAGAACTGACATGTAGGCAAGTAAGTTCTTGCATTTGGGTTTATTAGGGAACAAACAAATAACCTCATCATCTTATATCTCATTTAGCCATCACCAAAAGCTACATTTTGCTTTGGGTATGTATAAATTCTGAGGTGCTAGCAACAATCAGCAGATCCCAAATATGTTCCCCCAGATGTCTTCTAAAGCTAAGTTTTAAGCATTAGTTTTTGGAGGTGAGAAATCTTCCTCCTGGAGATTAATAATTAATAATCCCTGTGAATATTAATGGGTCTCTACAAAGTAAACCTGTTTGATATCATTTAGCCAAGCGACAAAAAAATTCCCTTTTCAAGGAGATCCTATTAATATCCCTTGGAACGGGCATCCTATGGAAAATATTGCCTGTGGTTTCACCCCTAAAAATGTTTGGGAATAGCAACAAAAAAGGTTACTATTGATTTGCCATTTTGTCGCCAGTGTTCATGTTTAACTTCTGATTAAACCGGTGCCACTGGATCAGATGAACCTGGGAGGAGGGGGACACCTGGGGCCGTTTGATAAAGACTCATTAATATAACACAGTGGCACTGCCCAGGTCCAAGGGCTGCCTTCACAAACGTGGAATACAATCTGGGGTACAGACGCTAAAAGAACCACGGAGCTGAAATAAGCCCTAGAGATCATCTACATTAACACTTGTATCTTAAAAGATGGAAACTGAGGCCTATCTCTATTGGGCGACTTCCCCAAGAAACATCCGTCAGTGCCAAACCAGAGCTGGAAGCCAAATGCACTTTCCTAGAGTCGTTTTTGCAAGTCGTTTTTGCAAGTATAAAAAGCACATCTATATGTCTTAGAGTAACTC